GGGTGTTGTGGAGGCTTTACTTGGGTATTGTAGAGGCTTTACTTGGGTGTTGTGGAGGCTTTACTTGGGTGTTGTGGAGGCTTTACCTGGTTGTTGTGGAGGCTTTACCTGGTTGTTGTGGAGGCTTTACTTGGGTGTTGTGGAGGCTTTACTTGGGTGTTGTGGAGGCTTTACTTGGATGTTGTGGAGGCTTTACTTGGGTGTTGTGGAGGCTTCACCTGGTTGTTGTGGAGGCTTCACCTGGTTGTTGTGGAGGCTTTACCTGGGTGTTGTGGAGGCTTTACCTGGTTGTTGTGGAGGCTTTACTTCGGTGTTGTGGAGGCTTTACCTGGGTGTTGTGGAGGCTTTACTTGGTTGTTGTGGAGGCTTTACTTGGTTCTTGTGGAGGCTTTACCTGGGAGTTGTGGAGGCTTTACTTGGTTGTTGTGGAGGCTTTACCTGGGTGTTGTGGAGGCTTTACCTGGTTGTTGTGGAGGCTTTACTTGGGTGTTGTAGAGGCTTTACTTGGGTGTTGTGGAGGCTTTACTTGGGTGTTGTGGAGGCTTTACTTGGGTGTTGTGGAGGCTTTACCTGGGTGTTGTGGAGGCTTTACCTGGGTGTTGTGGAGGCTTTACCTGGGTGTTGTGGAGGCTTTACTTGGGTGTTGTGGAGGCTTTACCTGGGTGTTGTGGAGGCTTTACCTGGGTGTTGTGGAGGCTTTACCTTGTTGTTGTGGAGGCTTTACTTGGGTGTTGTGGAGGCTTTACTTGGGTGTTGTGGAGGCTTCACCTGGTTGTTGTGGAGGCTTTACCTGGGTGTTGTGGAGGCTTTACCTGGTTGTTGTGGAGGCTTTACTTGGGTGTTGTGGAGGCTTTACTTGGGTGTTGTGGAGTCTTCACCTGGTTGTTGTGGAGGCTTTACCTGGTTGTTGTGGAGGCTTTACCTGGTTGTTGTGGAGGCTTTACTTGGGTGTTGTGGAGGCTTTACCTGGGTGTTGTGGAGGCTTTACTTGGTTGTTGTGGAGGCTTTACTTGGTTCTTGTGGAGGCTTTACCTGGTTGTTGTGGAGGCTTTACCTGGTTGTTGTGGAGGCTTTACCTGGTTGTTGTGGAGGCTTTACTTGGGTGTTGTGGAGGCTTTACCTGGGTGTTGTGGAGGCTTTACTTGGTTGTTGTGGAGGCTTTACTTGGTTCTTGTGGAGGCTTTACCTGGGAGTTGTGGAGGCTTTACTTGGTTGTTGTGGAGGCTTTACCTGGGTGTTGTGGAGGCTTTACTTGGTTGTTGTGGAGGCTTTACTTGGTTGTTGTGGAGGCTTTACCTGGGTGTTGTGGAGGCTTTACTTGGGTGTTGTGGAGGCTTTACTTGGGTGTTGTGGAGGCTTTACTTGGGTGTTGTGGAGGCTTTACTTGGGTGCTTTACTTGGGTGTTGTGGAGGCTTTACCTGGGTGTTGTGGAGGTTTTACTTGGGTTTTGTGGAGGCTTTACTTGGGTGTTGTGGAGGCTTTACTTGGGTGTTGTGGAGGCTTTACTTGGGTGTTGTGGAGGCTTTACTTGGGTGTTGTGGAGGCTTTACTTGGGTGTTGTGGAGGCTTTACTTGGGTGTTGTGGAGGCTTTACTTGGGTGTTGTGGAGGCTTTACCTGGGTGTTGTGGAGGCTTTACTTGGGTGTTGTGGAGGCTTTACTTGGGTGTTGTGGAGGCTTTACTTGGGTGCTTTACCTGGGTGTTGTGGAGGCTTTACTTGGGTGTTGTGGAGGCTTTACTTGGGTGTTGTGGAGGCTTTACTTGGGTATTGTGGAGGCTTTACTTGGGTGCTTTACCTGGGTGTTGTGGAGGCTTTACTTGGGTGTTGTGGAGGCTTCACCTGGTTGTTGTGGAGGCTTCACCTTTAGTGTCGTCGATGGACGAACTAGCGAATGCTAAATAGTCATCATCAGCAGCCTCGGAGGAAGAAGCTTTAGCCTTCACTTCTACTTTGCTAAACCACGACTCGAGTACTCTGGGTTCTCCTGGAAGAAGTGTAACAGCCATCTCCTGTGCTGAACACTGAACAGTGTTATGAGTAACTGATCCATTTGAGTCAGGAGGAGTTGCAACAGTGTTAGACATTGTCACTTAAGTGCAATTTACGCTGGAACATAAATTCTAACTAGGCACACCTGGCATAAAATAGAATGTACAAAAAATTAACACAAAACTCAAAATATCAAACGAGGCTCCAGTAAGTGAATGGCAAAAATAACAATTTAAAATGTAGTTAGGAAAAACACAAATTGAAATTAAACACAATTTTAAAATAAAATTGCAATCTGGTATGAATATGACTTGAAATTTATTTTATGTAATTAATTGAACCTGAATATATGAAAGAATACAAATAAATATTTAGTAACCAGCTGTACCTGACCACGTGCTGATGTGGCTCAGGTACATGATGTTACTGAGCCACAGCCACCTTCCCCTGTCCCCTCGTCCTCCCCACCACTCCCTCCTTCCTCGTCCCCTCGTTCTCCCAACCACTCCCTCCTTCCTCGTCCCCTCGTCCTCCCCACCCCTCCCTCCTTCCTCGTCCTCTCGACCTCCCCACCACTCCCTCCTTCCTCGTCCCCTCGTCCTCCCCACCACTCCCTCCTTCCTCGTCCCCTCGTCCTCCCCACCATTCCCCACTCCCCCCATACCCTCGTCCTCCCCCCAATTACCCCCCTCCCCTGTCCTCTCGACCTCCCCACCATTCCCCACTCCCTTGTCCGAAGCATTCCCAAATAATCTGATGTTTCCCCTGCAGAAACTTGGGAACATCAAATGATCTGATGTTTCCCCTGCAGAAACTTGGGAACATCAAATGATCTGATGTTCCCATCACTGAAATTTAAGAAAAGAGTTAAAACAAAATTAATGAAAAACAATGAACAAATAAAAAATAAACTATACTCACAAAATGAACGGTATGGTAAACAACACAGCTCAACTGCAACGCAATGTCACACAAAATAATTAAATCAAAATGAAAATAATTGGAAATCTGTGAAAATTCTACTTGTCAATGCAGTCGGAAACACTGAAATGGAATCGTAACATAGTTAGTATTGCCTGTGTTGCTCTTACCTGTAACAGATGGCGCTGTTTCTTCAAAATGAATGTTTTTACCTGTCACAGGTGTGGCATCTATACTTATTCTTACGAAATGAACTGTATAGTAAAAAAAAACAGCTCGATTCCAATGCAATGTCACACAAAATAATTCAATTAAATTTAAAATAAATCAAAATTTATGTTAATTCAATTTATCAATGCAATCTGGAACATTGAAATGGAATCGTAACATATTTAGTATAGAGTGTGTTACTATTATGAGCAACAGATGGCGCTGTTTAAAATTTTTTTTTTATTAGTCACAGGTGAGGCATGTATATAGTAGGTATATAAAAACACGTGCCTATTTGAATGCAACGCTGTGCCAAAATTTCAAAGCAATCGGTAAAGAGGTTTCGAACATTTCCCTCACATGATAAACAGCCCGTCCTCCAAACAAAGATCCAAAAGTGATTCCATGCACCCGCCAAACCCCCTGTTTATGAATGAAAAGCTGTTTACACACGACTCACAACTGCTGACGTTCGAACATATCCGGAACAAGTGCTTCACTGACGAATTTTGTTTGAATCACAACGCTGTAAATGCTTCACCCACGTACTACAAATACAAATAATCGTCAACAGAACCTAAACACCTAACCTAACCTATCCTATGCCTATATATACACAATATGCCAATATATTATAATATTAATTTATACTTGAGAAAATTCCCGTTTTGAATGAACAGCAAGTTAAAATTTATGAATGCGTCTGTGGGGTCGACCGCTGACTGTAATGGACTTGAGTCGAGGACGGGTTGTGATAAACACATGAAAAACACAGTTAAAAAAAAAAATGTTTTTTCCCGTCACAGACGTGACATTTATATAGTATGTATATAAAACCCACTCAGATGCGAATGGAACGTTGTGTGAAAATTTCAAAGCAATCGGTGAAGAACTTTCGGAGATTAACGATTTTGAACAAACTAACATTTACATTTTTATATATATAGATTGTGCACATATAGACCTAGGTTAGGTGTTTAGGTTCTATTGGCAATTATTTTTATTTCAACCCGTCCTCGACTCAAGTCCATTACACCCAGCGGTCAACCCCACAGACGCATTCATAAATTTTAACATGCTGTTCATTCAAAACGGGAATTTTCTCAAGTATAAATTAATATTATAACATATTAGCATATTGTGTATATATAGGTATAGGTTAGGTTAGGTCAGGTGTTTAGGTTCTGTTGGCGATTATTTGTATTTGTAGTACGTGGGTGAAGCATTTATAGCGTTGTGATTCGAACAAAATTCGTCAGTGAAGCACTTGTTCTGGAAGTGTTCGAACGAAATCAGTTTCGAGTCTTGTGTAAACCGTTTTTCATTCATAAACAAGGGGTTTGGCGGGTGCATGGAATCACTTATGAGTCTTTATTTGGAGGACGGGCTGGGTTCAGAGCGCTCATAGCGTGACGGTGTTTACTTAAGAAAATTTTCGTTCTTAAATGCCAACCTGAATCCCGCCTGAGCCGCCAAGAGGATTGTAAGAACAAAAATGTTCGTAAGTACTTGCGAAACTGATTCGTGAATCTGGCCCCAGGGGAGCAGGATGAGTCGACCCATCACTCAAAGCATGCCCCCCCCCCCCTTCCCTCCCCCGGCGTAGGCACATGATCCACTGCACCACTTACACTCCTCCAGGACCTGGAACAGGTTGGAGAGTCCTCCTCCCGGAACAGGTTGACGCGCTTCATGGCGCCCGCTCGCCATCCTGCAGCCTGATGGCCTGACAAGCCACACCGGAAACGTGTCCGCGGCTGACAGTCATAAAACTCCGGATATTCTCTCCCACCAGGAGCACTGAAGACAGCACGGCAGACGGAAGCCTCATTGTGAGTGTCCGGATCCCAGTGGGCGGCACACCCTTCAGTCGCCCAGATGGAATCACATTCATCCGAAGGTGCAATATCCGGCCAAACTGGCCAAAATAACGGCGCAGCAAGGTATCAGGGAACTCGAAGGGCGCATCATGGTCGCTCACGTAAGTAGTACCGCCATAATAACATATGTGAGTATATATGTAGTAACATATGTGTTACCGCCACTTCTGCCCGACACGACCACAGTACCAGCACCCTTGGACAACGGTATATTCAGCTGAGAGTAAAAGGCAGGTATGTTTCTTCGTGAATCTAACCCTATCAAATTCTAACTAGAGTCTTTCCCAAACACATTTCTTCTCCATTGTAACTTATCAAGTTTAGTAATATGTTCAAGTATTCTTCAGTATTACTGAACCAGTTTTAAAACATTTATACGTTTACCGAGAGGTTATTCTGCTACGTCCCCATATTTGACTTTTATCCTCACCATTCAATAACATTAGTCGAGAATAAGTAATTAATCATCCCTACACAAATTCTTACCGTTAAATTAAATTTTCACAATTTTACGTGCACAAAATACTATCCTTCTCTAAAGACAGTTACCATTGCTCATTTTCTGTAACACATGATACAAAAAACTTGTTTAATTCATACTCGTTTTCTCAGCCATATTCAGTCTCATTACACAAGTCACTATCACACTCTTTCTCAAACACTATTTCTCTTCTAATCAAACTCTTAATAACACAATCTTGCACATTAACATTCACTTTCACAATTTTACTCAATTATAATTCATTTACACAATACACACGCACAGTTTTGCTTTTATTTTTTCATAGCAACTTATCCCTCCACCCCCCCCCCCCCCTCCTAACTTATCTGAGTATTTCCTCTGTAAACATCATTGACTGGTCCTCTATGCTGTAAACATCATTGACTGGTCCTCTATGCTGTAAACATCATTGACTGGTCCTCTATGCTGTAAACATCATTGACTGGTCCTCTATGCTGTAAACATCATTGACTGGTCCTCTATGCTGTAAACATCATTGACTGGTCCTCTATGCTGTAAACATCATTGACTGGTCCTCTATGCAACTGTGATTAACGTTACACATAACTAAACTTCCACAACACAACTATTCCTTCTTTATTTCGTAAATCATCTTGAATTATTTGTCTTCGTAAGTTCACAACTTTCCACTTTCCTTCTATGAATTACTGTACACCAACTCCTCATGCAATATCTCAACCCAACTTTCTGTACTTCATAACAGAAATCTTTTGTTTCTGGACAAACACAAATATTCAACATGTATTATTTCTTGCCAACACAATGTTTTCATCTTCCTCTTAGTAATCTTAGTCAAGGTCTTCCTCCGCCTCCTCCTCCTCTTGCATCACATATTTACATTCGAGTTCAAAGCTTTTGCAAGATCTCAGATCCAACTTTACTCTTGCTAATATTATTTACTCTCGTAAGTAGTGTTCCCAGTAATCATGCAATGGTCAGTATTTCTCGCTTGATAAGAGGTAAGCAGCACTTCTCAAGAACTCTCAATCGTTCGATCAATTCCCATACACTAGGCTGGTAGTTCAAAAATCCCCCACCGGATGTCGCTAACATATACTAGTACTCACTCATTCCACAATTACACACTCACAATTTACCTATTTCTCACTCTTACTCATGATAATCACAACTCATTCAGCTCACATAACCTATCCTAGTCTTTCTTCCATATTTTTCAACTTTACTCTCTACAACTGTTAATAACAAAGCTCAATTTTCACATCAGGACTAATTCTTCCCCACTTGACATTTTTATAAATTTGAGCTTCTCAGAAAGTGTGTAATCGTGCTCATCATTCTTACACAAACGTCATAAACACTTACACTCTTACACAAATTACATCAGAAAACATCAAAATACTTACACCCTTACGCAAAATGTAGTTTCTTAGTCATGCACGTTCATATCCATTTTCCTAACTCTTTACACTATCTCATGACACAAATCTTACTCCTCCTCAATCACAACAACATTTCTACACAAGTCACACTCACTAACTCTCAAACATAAACTTGCTAATTTATCAATCACTAACTCAGGTCACACTCTCTAATTCAATCTTTTCACATAGTCTCAATCACAGTCACCAGCTTAACTCACACTCTTTTTTTTCAGAATTAACAATGTCTTACTTTTTTCAGTCAGAGTTTTTCAGAGTTCAGTTAGAGTGCCTTAGTTGTCCAGAGTGAGTCAGTTATCCCTCCCCTTACACCCAGGGTGACATGATTAGGTTACCTCCGGTACTGCCTGGACCTCACACAAAATACTCCTTTCAGCTGTGACCAAACTATATTTTATATATATATATATATATATATATATATATATATATATATATATATATATATATATATATATATATATATATATATATATATATATGCGAACAAGCCTGAATGGTCCCCAGGACTATATGCGAATGAAAACTCACACCCCAGAAGTGAATCGAACCCATACTCCCAGAAGCAACGCAACTGGTAACTACAGGGCGCCTTAATCCGCTTGACCATCACGGCCGTCAAAAGGAAGTGATAGCCGAGGCTATTTGAGCCACTTCCCCGACGGCAACTCGGATGGTAATCTTGGGCATAGCATTTCACCAAATCACCTCATTCTTTGGGGCACACGTGAGGAACACAAATGCGAACAAGCCTGAATGGTCCCCAGGACTATATGCGAATGAAAACTCACACCCCAGAAGTGACTCGAACCCATACTCCCAGAAGCAACGCAACTGGTAACTACAGGGCGCCTTAATCCGCTTGACCATCACGGCCGTCAAAAGGAAGTGATAGCCGAGGCTATTTGAGCCACTTCCCCGACGGCAACTCGGATGGTAATCTTGGGCATAGCATTTCACCAAATCACCTCATTCTTTGGGGCACACGTGAGGAACACAAATGCGAACAAGCCTGAATGGTCCCCAGGACTATATGCGAATGAAAACTCACACCCCAGAAGTGACTCGAACCCATACTCCCAGAAGCAACGCAACTGGTAACTACAGGGCGCCTTAATCCGCTTGACCATCACGGCCGTCAAAAGGAAGTGATAGCCGAGGCTATTTGAGCCACTTCCCCGACGGCAACTCGGATGGTAATCTTGGGCATAGCATTTCACCAAATCACCTCATTCTTTGGGGCACACGTGAGGAACACAAATGCGAACAAGCCTGAATGGTCCCCAGGACTATATGCGAATGAAAACTCACACCCCAGAAGTGACTCGAACCCATACTCCCAGAAGCAACGCAACTGGTAACTACAGGGCGCCTTAATCCGCTTGACCATCACGGCCGTCAAAAGGAAGTGATAGCCGAGGCTATTTGAGCCACTTCCCCGACGGCAACTCGGATGGTAATCTAGGTTTTTTTTTTTTATTACCATCCGAGTTGCCGTCGGGGAAGTGGCTCAAATAGCCTCGGCTATCACTTCCTTTTGACGGCCGTGATGGTCAAGCGGATTAAGGCGCCCTGTAGTTACCAGTTGCGTTGCTTCTGGGAGTATGGGTTCGAGTCACTTCTGGGGTGTGAGTTTTCATTCGCATATAGTCCTGGGGACCATTCAGGCTTGTTCGCATTTGTGTTCCTCACGTGTGCCCCAAAGAATGAGGTGATTTGGTGAAATGCTATGCCCAAGATTACCATCCGAGTTGCCGTCGGGGAAGTGGCTCAAATAGCCTCGGCTATCACTTCCTTTTGACGGCCGTGATGGTCAAGCGGATTAAGGCGCCCTGTAGTTACCAGTTGCGTTGCTTCTGGGAGTATGGGTTCGAGTCACTTCTGGGGTGTGAGTTTTCATTCGCATATAGTCCTGGGGACCATTCAGGCTTGTTCGCATTTGTGTTCCTCACGTGTGCCCCAAAGAATGAGGTGATTTGGTGAAATGCTATGCCCAAGATTACCATCCGAGTTGCCGTCGGGGAAGTGGCTCAAATAGCCTCGGCTATCACTTCCTTTTGACGACCGTGATGGTCAAGCGGATTAAGGCGCCCTGTAGTTACCAGTTGCGTTGCTTCTGGGAGTATGGGTTCGAGTCACTTCTGGGGTGTGAGTTTTCATTCATATATATATATATATATATATATATATATATATATATATATATATATATATATATATATATATATATTAGTATATTTTGGTAGCAGTCTTTCCTGTAGACATATATTATTAAATATGACCGAAAAAGTAAGATTAATAATTCTAACACGAATTTTCTCGATCTTTCGTACATTCCTTTTCACTGTTGGTGGTAATTCAAAAATCAATTCTCCAAAATTCATTTCTATTTCTAGTCTGATGCGACACTTGAGCGCGTTTCGTAAAACTTATTACATTTTCAAAGACTTTAGTTTACACATACACAACTGAATAGAACTTACACATCTCCGATTTGTTTATATCTACATTTGAGTGAGGTGGATGGGGTGAGGTGGTATTAATAGGGTATTAAATTCATCAACACAAGACAGAACACGAAACAATGGGTATTGAATGGAAGTGATTGTAGAAAGCCTATTGGTCCATATTTCTTGATGCTTCTATATTGGAGCGGAGTCTTGAGGTGGGTAGCATATAGTTGTGCATTAATTGGCTGTTGATTGGTGGTGTTGACTTTTTAATGTGTAGTGCCCCGCAAACGTCAAGCCGTCTGCTATCGCTGTATCTATCGATGATTTCTTTGTTGTTTACTAGGATTTCTCTGGCGATGGTTTGGTTGTGGGAAGAGATTATATGTTTCTTAATGGAGCCCTGTTACTTATGCATCGTTAAACGCCTAGAAAGAGATGTTGTTGTCTTGCCTATATACTGGGTTTTTTGGAGCTTACAGTCCCCAAGAGGGCATTTGAAGGCATAGACGACGTTGGTCTCTTTTAAAGCGTTCTGCTTTGTGTCTGGAGAGTTTCTCATGAGTAGGCTGGCCGTTTTTCTGGTTTTATAGTAAATCGTCAGTTGTATCCTCTGATTTTTGTCTGTAGGGATAACGTTTCTATTAACAATATCTTTCAGGACCCTTTCCTCCGTTTTATGAGCTGTGGAAAAGAAGTTCCTGTAAAATAGTCTAATAGGGGGTATAGGTGTTGTGTTAGTTGTGTCTTCAGAGGTTGCATGGCGTTTCACTTTCTTTCTTATGATGTCTTCGACGAAACCATTGGAGAAGCCGTTGTTGACTAGGACCTGCCTTACCCTACAGAGTTCTTCGTCGACTTGCTTCCATTCTGAGCTGTGGCTGAGAGCACAGTCGACATATGCGTTAACAACACTCCTCTTGTACCTGTCTGGGCAGTCACTGTTGGCATTTAGGCACATTCCTATGTTCGTTTCCTTAGTGTAGACTGCAGTGTGGAAACCTCCGCTCTTTTCCATGACTGTTACATCTAGAAAGGGCAGCTTCCCATCCTTTTCCATCTCGTAAGTGAAACGCAGCACGGAACTCTGCTCAAACGCCTCCTTCAGCTCCTGCAGATGTCTGACATCAGGTACCTGTGTAAAAAATGTCGTCAACATACCTGCAGTATATGGCCGGTTTCAAGTTCATGTCGACTAAGACTTTTTGCTCGATGGTACCCATGTAGAAGTTTGCAAACAGGACACCTAGGGGAGAACCCATGGCGACCCCATCTACTTGCTTATACATGTGCCCATCCGGGCTCAAGAAGGGTGCCTCTTTAGTACAAGCTTGGAGTAGTTTCCTTAGAATATTCTCTGGTATGTCAAGAGGAGTACAGGCTGGATCACGATACACTCTGTCGGCTATCATCCCGATTGTCTCGTCCACAGGTACGTTGGTGAACAGAGATACCCACACCCACGTACAGACTGGCAAAGCGACTCAACGGCCTGCTGACTCCTTATGTCCTTTGCGCCTTCAGCCTGAAGTCCCCAAAAGAATTTGTTGACTTACTGCGGGGCACACGGGCCACAGGGATAAGAGCCTCGTTGGACGTGGAATCACTGTTCACCAACGTACCTGTGGACGAGACAATCGGGATGATAGCCGACAGAGTGTATCGTGATCCAGCCTGTAATCCTCTTGACATACCAGAGAATATTCTAAGGAAACTACTCCAAGCTTGTACTAAACAGGCACCCTTCTTGAGCCCGGATGGGCACATGTATAAGCAAGTAGATGGGGTCGCCATGGGTTCTCCCCTAGGTGTCCTGTTTGCAAACTTCTACATGGGTACCATCGAGCAAAATGTCTTAGTCGACATGAACTTGAAACCGGCTATATACTGCAGGTATGTTGACGACATTTTTACACAGGTACCTGATGTCAGACATCTGCAGGAGCTGAAGGAGGCGTTTGAGCAGAGTTCCGTGCTGCGTTTCACTTACGAGATGGAAAAGGATGGGAAGCTGCCCTTTCTAGATGTAACAGTCATGGAAAAGAGCGGAGGTTTCCACACTGCAGTCTACACTAAGGAAACGAACATAGGAATGTGCCTAAATGCCAACAGTGACTGCCCAGACAGGTACAAGAGGAGTGTTGTTAATGCATATGTCGACCGTGCTCTCAGCCACAGCTCAGAATGGAAGCAAGTCTACGAAGAACTCTGTAGGGTAAGGCAGGTCCGAGTCAACAACGGCTTCTCCAATGGTTTCGTCGAAGACATCATAAGAAGGAAAGTGAAACGCCATGCAACCTCTGAAGAGACAACTAACACAACAACTATACCCCCTATTAGACTATTTTACAGGAACTTCTTTTCCACAGCTCATAAAACGGAGGAAAGGGTCCTGAAAGATATTGTTAATAGAAACGTTATCCCTACAGACAAAAATCAGAGGATACAACTGACGATTTACTATAAAACCAGAAAAACGGCCAGCCTACTCATGAGAAACTCTCCAGACACAAAGCAAAACACTTTAAAAGAGACCAACGTCGTCTATGCCTTCAAATGCCCTCTTGGGGACTGTAAGCTCCAAAAAAACCAGTATATAGGCAAGACAACAACATCTCTTTCTAGGCGTTTAACGATGCATAAGCAACAGGGCTCCATTAAGGAACATATAATCTCTTCCCACAACCAAACCATCGCCAGAGAAATCCTAGTAAACAACACAGAAATCATCGATAGATACAGCGATAGCAGACGGCTTGACGTTTGCGAGGCACTACACATTAAAAAGTCAACACCAGCAATCAACAGCCAATTAATGCACAACTATATGCTACC